CCCATACTCGACCCGATATTGCATTTTCTGTTGGTATGATTTCCAAGTTTATGCAACATCCTTCAAAGCTTCATTTTGGAGCAGCGAAGCGGGTCTTGCCTTACATCGCTGGAACTATGGATTATGGGATTTGGTACTCAAAAGTTTTCAATTTCAAATTATGTGGGTTCACGGACAGCGATTGGGCAAGTTCGTTGGATGATAGGCGGAGTATTTCAGCAAATGTTTTTACTCTTGGATCAGGAGTAATCACATGGAGCTCAAAGAAGCAAGCCACAGTAGCATTGTCGTCCTTAGAAGCTGAGTACGTTGCAGCCACTTCAGCAGCTTGTCAAGCCATATGGTTAAGAAGAATGTTGGCTGAACTTCAACAAAGGCAAAATGGAGCAACGGAGATCTTTTGTGACAACAAGGCAACCATCTTTATGACAAAAAATCCAGCATTTCATAGCAGAACAAAACATATAGATTTGCGTCTCCATTTCATTCGTGATTTGGTTGCGAAGAAGGAGGTAACTTTGAAGTACTGTAGCACTCATGAGCAGCTGGCTGATATACTGACGAAGTCTTTGTCAAAAGAAAAGTTTTTCTACTTCAGAGCTTTTCTTGGCATTTGCAACTTTGAATCAAGAGGGAGTGTTGAAGAATGATTCAAAATCTGACTTGGTCTTTTCAGGTTGTTAGTAGTGTCCGTATTTTTCTGAGTCTGTTTAGTCAATTGGGTAGTTGTTGCTGATATTATGCTAGTGGCTGTAGTGGTCTAAGTTAGTTCCTTAGTGGTACATAAAATTTGTTCTGGTAGCTTAGTTTGTAAGCCTATATATAGGCATATTTGCTTCAGTATTTTTAACTTGAATAAGAGGACCCAAGAGTTCAGATTTTATATATTTCCTTGCCTCTGTTTTCTTGGTTTTTGCCTCTGTTTTCAGTGTTATTCATTTTTATCTCCAACAAGTCTGACCCAACTGTACCAAATAAGGCAAGCTCTTGACCGATATGAAAGAACAACCGGACAGAGAAAGGATCTGCAAATAGAGCTGGTCTGCATTATAACAACGATCTCAGACACCATTGATGAGAACTCCCAGAAGAATGATGAGAAAAAGTTATAACTAAGAAGAGAGAGAGAAGGAGATATATTAATATTCAAACCTCTCCTCATACCCCATGAGAGAGACAAGAGAGTGTATTATTTTCTCTTTAATAATTTTCTTCCACCGAAAGTGAGCAACCCTCTCAAATAATTTCCACCACCACAAAAAACATCATCAGAATATATTCCCTTCCTTTATTTTATTTATTTATTTTTTTTTGAGTCATTACATTTGCTCTTTATGCTATCATATTTCCACTGATACACCGGCATTTCAACTGTAGTCTTTCCCAAACTGCACTGATACACTGCATTGGCACACTGTATACACACACTGTACTTATACTGTATCTAATTTCTGCATACCACTTATTCTCCATACTATGCTTGTATCTGATACACAACTGTAGCTGATATATTGACAACTATTTTTTTTTCAGATCCCATATGTATCGATGGCTCCAGGGACAGCAGCAGCACCAACACCAGTACTACATCCTCTCATAAACTTAAGACTCGAGGAAAGAGGGAAAGGGGAAACTCACTTAACAGGCCAATTCAAAAACTGAGGGCTCAAGGATTGCCACGACAAAAAAATCAGCTACAAACAAAATAATATATATTATATATTTCTCTAGCTGATCTTGAAGCATGCACATTTTCTAATACTGCAGGAATAAAATTTAGGCTTATATTAAACCAACCTACTAGATCCTTCGCATAAAAAAACGGAAAGAAGTAATTTTATCCATCTCTAAATGTACACCCAATGGATTATGTGATCCATATTGATGCAATACGTCTGCATGAAGAACACTGACACTTACTAAAATAAAGGAGAGTAAATGATGAGGATTAAAATTATGATTTAAGGTGGCTTTGTCCACAGAGAAACCACCCCAAAGCTGAGTCATTATGGTATCTTCTACTATTGTTATTGCATTATAGAGCATCTTGCACCCATAATATATGGAATGCATTGTGATCTTTAATCCTATAATTACTCCAGTTTCATCACAAAAAAACTTCACCACAGAGGACAATGACCATCCATATCATTAACTGCTCATCTCAACTCAATCACTTTGTAACATACAAATATAATAAGAAAGCTAAGGCAAGAACGACAATCATGAAAACTAAAGTATATTTCCAAATTTTAAGAAATTAAGAATACAATAGGTATTTATTGACTTTTATTTGCTTAGCTAATTTGAGGACAAGCCCCAAGTTCTCTGTAGATTTTGCTTACCTCAAGAGCATAGCTGATCTTTTGCAAAGTCATTATAAGCTCAAGTACACCAACATAGGACTGTCGTGAGGCTTCAAACACTGGCAAAGCGAAGGTCCCCCTAACATTGTAACATTGAGCACGATTGAGCATAAGGAGCTCCTTGTGGTAGTAAAACTGCACATTTGGGGTCCAAAATGGTAACTTCAACTGAAAAGCATGGCTATAATGTCCACAGTCCACATCCATACTACTGTCCAAGGCAAACATATACATCAGAGAGGCGATCTTGCACCGATGAAGTTCATTGTTGTGTGGGTCAAGAACCAAAGGTTGCAATGAAGTTGTAAGTGCACTCTGGTGCAGATTCTCAACAGTTGCTGAAATTTGAGACAAAGGATATTGTGCAGTTGATTCTATCAAGAGCCGAAGCGAGTTTGTCATTGTCTCTTCAATCATAAAGGCTGGTATTGGCTTCAAAGTTTCTGCCTCCTGCAATAATAATTTCAATTTTCCAGGCAGACATTTTGCTAAGTCAAGAAGCACCTCTTTCACTATTGAGAGTTTCAAGCAAACCAGTTGTGCTTCATCACCAAGCTTTTGTAATTCTAGGCTTTTGGACTCCAAATTAGATATGTCCGTGATTACTGAAATTTTCAACTTATGAGTGATTGAATGAACCTCTAGAATGCATTAAATAAGCAACATGACCATCATTGGTGATAGCCTATGAAGTTAACAATTCCAGCCATATTAGAACAACATGACATTCCAAAGAATTTTACTGAATATCATTCTATTTTTTTTTTTTGAAACATTCTAGACTATGGTAAATGAAAGTTAACAATAATCTATGCTATATTTGAAACGACAAAGAACAATAGCTTTCATATTTGTCTATGTTTGTTTCAATGTGTTCTTTGACTGCTCTTGCTTTGTTGGGTCCATGCGAAAGAGATATCTTTGATGATTAAATGAATTATATTCTTACTAAGAGAGTGAGAGAGAGAGAGAGAGAGAGAGAGAGAGAGAGAGAGAGAGAGGAGATAAGTCTACTGTTTAATTCAAAAAAAAAAAAAACTGTTCCTTAATCACTCTCAATTTCGTTGTAGTCATTCCATCTTGATTGTACCTAATAATACACATATTTGTATGATATGCAATATGATATACAAGATACATGACAAACATTCGGATACATTTCCCTCTTTCCTTATGTACCATGTGTATTTTAATGTTCTACAATTATTTTTCATTTTTAGCAATGCAATTGTTACGTAAATAATATCTTGATATTTATGTTATGATATATGACTTCTTAATTTTAATTAGTGTTAATTTTTTTAATTACCTTTGAATAAATAATTCACATACTAATTGAAATAAAATAAAGAGTAAGTTACACTTTTCACTCTTAAACTTTCATTTGAATTTTATTTTGATCCCTCATCTTCTAATTGCAACAACTAAGTCATCATACTTCAACCCATTTTTTTATGTGATCATGACTTATGAGTCACTCATCGTTACAAATTTGAATGGAAAAAGTACTCATGGGGGCTATGTGAGTTCATTTTAGGAATATAAGAGGAAAAACTTGACATGAAAATTGCACTTCACCCTCAAACTTTAGTCAAATTCTACTTTGGCCCTTTTAAGTTTAAATTTTTACTCAAATTTTAAACGATGGGCCAATAGGAGATCCAAATTAAAAAATGGGTTGAAATTTAGGGACTTAATTGTTATAATTAGAAGATAAGAGATCAAAGTGAAATTTAAATTAAATTCAAAAGTGAAAGGTAAATTAATAAAATATAAATTTTAAAAATGTCTCAACTATATTGTGACTTTCATTTTTTTTTTTTTTTGAAAATTATCATGAGAATGTGCCAATTGTGCTACTTAGCCTCTTTTGGAAAGACAAAAAAAGAAAAGAAAAAAAGAAGCTAACTTGTTGGTTTATTAACTTATTTGAGACACAACATAACTCTACTTTTTACACGTTTTTTTTTAATATTATAATAAGCCAATAAGCTTTTAAAAAAAGTCATTTATCAAAATACGCCTTAATTAATGCGTTAAAATTGCTTTTCCTTACTATTACATAAAACAAATATAATTTTAACTTTTCCCTGCTTCTATTACCTCAACAATATAAATTATTAACCCAACGCCAAAATATAAACTAGTATATAGGTATAATGGTTTAACTCTCTCTCTCTCCATATTGAAAAACTTTCCCTTTTTCTCCCTCAAATTCTTTCTCTATTTATTTACCCTCCATTTATCATTAATTATTTACATATATTTTTATTACCTTCCAACAATGTATGTATTTTATCTAAGAAGTTCTCTCTTTATTTTAATATCTCTTAGAGAAAATAAAATTAATTAAACACAAAATATAGGTATTGGTGAATTGTAAAAAATTCAAAATAAACCTCATGTGAATTACTTTAGTATTTGAATTCATTAATAACATATAATAAACGCATAAAATATAATTCCATCAGTCTAGAAAAATTAATTGAAAAAATTTCATTAAAAATACTTACATTTAGCGAGGAGAGAGAGAGACAAGTGGAAGTAGACAATGAGATAGTAGTACTTGTATCTGATAAATTACATTTTGGAGACGAGGGTGGATGATGCTGATGGAGAGACGTAAAAGGGACGATGGGGCTACAAGGATTGATGTTAGCATCAGAGATCAAATCTCGCAAAAGGCTGTCTGTTGGAGAATCCAATGACGACAACCAATTGAAGAACTTTGACATTAAATCTTCTTCTTCACCTGACATCTTCAGTGGTTAAACACAAACCAGCATAGAGAGTGTCTACAACACACAAAAAACACCCATTAATTCCATAACTTCACTCTGCTATTAAAACTTTCTCACTACTAACTTCAAATTTTGACTTTCCTTCCTCCCTCCTCTCTTATAATTCGACTACTGAACCTCAATTGTACATAGTACTATTATTAAATGAACCCCAATTTTGAAGGGTTCAAATCTAGAACCCATGATTTTATTAGAACAGCACAAGGGTCCTAAATTATTAGGGGTTTATGGGGTCAAACCCCGTTTTGGCTGCACAGGCGCCAACGGAATGGATGGCCGATGGCAAGCTAACTCAGCAGCGTTTTCCCATAAATTATATTGACAAACAAAATGTTAGTCAACCAAAAAATTTTATCAATTTTTTTATTAAATGTCTTAAATAGGTAAGAGACTTGCACTATGTAGGTTTCATGTAGGTCCTATATCCATGTGAGATATTTAGTAGAAAATTTGATAAAAATTTTGAAATCTCTAACATTACTCGATTGAAAAACAGGAAAAAAAGATGATATGTGGTGTTGTCACCGCATCTGTGGGCCTTGATTTCAGAGTAGTCGGTTGCCAATCAGATTTTACTAAACCCATAGCAAGGCACTCACTACCGAGGCACCAATAGAGCTCAGCCACACACCATAGAAGAACCCAAGGTCGAACAGAGTATAGTGCGAGGTCTCAAAGTGTCACGACCCCAAACCGCCCCTAGTAGTTTGGTGCTGTGATGGCCAGTAATCTGAGATTACCGAAGGCCAACTTTCAAAATTCACACACAACAGAGTATAAATATATGGGGCTCACAAGTACGGAAGCGATACATACAATCAGATTAGTCCATAAGAGCTGTGCATAAGTCAAATAAAATAGCAACCATCTTCATATGGGTTACAACTTAATTACAAACGAAGCAAGGTACAAATTACATCTTACATGTTAACAAAGGGCTTCACAAGCTGACACAAACAAAATGTACGAACTACAGGTCAAGGAACGAAGTCTGCCAGATTGCCGACATCCCCGTTGCCGACGTGCTAATGTACCGGTCCAACATATTGGGGGTGATTAACACTGTGCGTGAGTTACAGTTTGGTGATGGGCATATTCGGCAATTACAGAAAACCCCCTTTTGGGTGATGATTGACGCTATTCGTGTTCACAAGCTAGCAAAACAAGCTCGCGAATCACATCTAGGCGTCATCGCCTTCTTGCTCATCACCTACATATATATATAGAGGGTGAGCTTGGATACTCAGTGAATGGTATAAATAATAAAGGGTTTGCATGAATAATTGCCGAAGTCCTCTCAAAACAATACAAGTCAAAAACTTTAAATAACAAGGGATGGTCCTCGTCCATCTAACAAATCTTCAAAGCTTCAAGGGATGCTTACTAGCATCAACATATTACAAATGATAACATTCTGGCAACATATCCACGCGGTAAACCGTCAGTGGCAAAACAAGACAAAGCAAGGGAGATATCTCAAACAAGGGTACTACAAAAGTTTAGAGTCCTTTAGCACAAGGGACCTATGTTACAAAGGCTCGTAGCCCTTTAACACGAGAGTACTGCGAAAGTTTAGAGTCCTCCGGCACAAGGGACTTTCCAAACAAGATGTGCTACGAAAGTTTAGAGTCCTCCAGCACAAGGGACTTTCAAAACAAGATGTGCGGCGAAAGTTTAGAGTCCTCCAGCACAAGGGACTTTCAAAGCAAGATGTGCAGTTGCATTATAGTCCCCTGGCACTAAGGACTTTCCGAGAAGGTCATCAAAACAAGATAGTGCTTGATATACAAAAATAGGGACAATTATTCATGCTTAACAAATACTTTCAAAACAAAGCAGAGCAAAGTCTTTATCAAAACATATAACATATCTTTATTAAAAATACCACTCACATAGTTCTTCAAACGTCGGGGTCAAGGCAAGTCCAAGTCCTACAAACACATGGCAAAGTCTATTGAATGCACCACTCAAAACAAGTCTACCATACATGCAAATGACCTCGACATTCTTCAAAAACAAAGTCAAATCAAATCAAAACACAGTTTCTTATCTTTGGAAAACACACTGGGCAACCACCAGGTCTAGGCCGAGGTCCCACACCTCCTTGCCGAGGTGTGGCCTCGATGGCCACATTCAAAAGCGAAGTCGGGAAAATCTGGGTTTCCCTCTTGATAAACATGAGGAACATGAGCATGAAGAAGATGAACGCAAAGATCAAAACTTGCTATTACAAAAGCTGAGATTTCATGCTATAATTTCAAAAACATAGACCTGGGTACCCACACTCAAGGATCTTATCAAAACAAACACAAAAACATGAGCCTTAATGCAAACTTTCGGATCAAACGAGGCTTTTCTCCAAAAACACATGAAAACCATTTTCTCTTTCTAAAACTAACTTTAAATTGATGAATGGCGTGCAGAACAGGTTTGATCGTGCAATGTAGCTAGATGATCAATAAGAACAACAAGAGTAGGTTAAGATTCTAACGTCAAAACTCAAATCTAACGGCTCAAGCTCCAACGATCAAGCTTGGAAGTTCACTCTCTTACTCAAAACTTCTCCTCCTTCCTAGAGTTTCTCTCTCTAAAAGCAAGATTTGATACAAAATGATATGTTTCTCCCGACAGTCACTGACTTAATCCCTCTGTTGGGACACGTGGCCTCGGCTGATTGGCTCTACTCAAAAAGGTGACTGACTTGACAAGACAAGACCAAGGCAAGGTGTATTCAACAAGCTAGGCGGCAAGAGCACTCCGGCAAGTAACGACATCGGCTAACAACAAGACTCTGGCAAGTAAGTGGCAAGGACATCGGCTTGGAAGGACAACACTTGACTAAGCTGTGCCACACCTCGGTCTAGGTCATACCATTCCAGGAACAAAATCACTAATGCAAGGATCAAGGATCTAGAACGCCTAGATGTTAACATCTCAGCCTATATGCCAGGGTAGAGATGGAGGTCAACCGATGGGGTTCCAAGATAGTTCTAAGTGTGGAAAGGTTCCAAGGTGTCTAGGCTCAAGATAACCTCGGCAACACACCAGGCAAGAACAAAGCATGCAAGCGACATTCGAGCAAAACAAGACAAGATTTGCAAATACACATATCAAAACAAGATCATACATAAATGTATGCAAGTATGACTAAGTTAAAATGAGGGTTGTTACACAAAGAGAGCTAGCTAGAAAATCAACTATTTTTTCCACCCCCTATGGAGAGAACTGCATTCTTTACTAGACCACCACCCTCGGTGGTATATTGAAAAATGTTTGATAGCACTAATTGAACGCTCCCAATTCACCCCTAATGACATAAAATGAATTATATAAAGAGATGGACCCACATTCTTTTTCCCTTCCCTCTCTATCCGTCTCTATTTTGCTCCTCCAACTTGGCATTCATCAATAGTTTTTGTTAATATTTTGAAAAATATTTTGATAAGTGTCAAGTAATAAATAGTATAAAATACCAAATAATCATTCATGTTTTGCTCTTTAAACATGAGTGCAAAAGAAGTAAAAGATTTTTTTTTTAAAAAAAAGAAAGTAAATTACACTTTTTATTTTTATAGTGTGATCTAAATTTTATTTTGGTTATTATTTTAATTTAAATAATTTGATTACTATTACTCTAACATTTTTAATGAATTTTTTTTATATGATAATCAAAGTAAACATGAGTGCAAAAGAAGTAAGATGATTTTTTTTTGGCTTGTTTTTAATGAATTTTTTTATATGATAATCATTTTTTTTACATTTTTTAAATGCATTCTAGATGTATTTAAAAAATAAAATAAATTGACTAAAATGTATTAAAAATAAAAAAAAAATCTGAACAAAATTATGTGTGTATTTCGTTTGTTTTTAGTAAAGTTTTTTTTTTATTTTATATTTTAGTTTTTTTTTTACTATAAAAAATGTATGTAATCTTGATGTATCTAAAAATTGACAAAAAATTGATGAATTCTTATCAATCAAAATAGTAAAAGGCACCATCTTGGCCATACTGTTTCAACATGAAAAAAAAATTACGCCTTAAATAAGGCATACCATACTAACATTTTTTTATAGTTGTTATAAAAATACGATCGTAGTTTCTAACATTTAATACAAGAATTGCTGCAGAAATTAACACTTATAGTGATGCTGAAAGAAGTGAACATAACTGCATGTTTGTTGCAAGGTAAGAAAATAGTGATGACAATTTGTTAGATAAGCTGGTATGTAGTGAAGACGAAGAATATGCTTTATACAACAATTATGCATTACGAATGGGTTTTAGTATTCGGAAAGGAAAGCCAAGATATTATAGTGGATCAAAGAACATAAGGCAACATGAATTTTTATGTTCTAAAGAGGGTTTTAAAGTAGATAAAGACCCATGTGAAGAGAAAAAATTAATAGGCTGGAGACTAGAACTGGTTGCAAAGCATTTATTCGTTTAATTGTTGAAGATGGAATTTGGAGGGTTACTGCCTTCAATCCTGAACATAATCATAAACTTGCATTACAATCAGAGCGGCATTTGCTAAGATCTGCTTGTCACATTTCAAAATTGAAGGCAGGTGTGATTGATTCTATTGTAAATGCGGGTATAACCACAAAGAATGCTTATCCATATCTAAGAGAAAGTTGGAGGCAGTGAGAATGTGGGTTTTACCAAAAGGGATTGTTATAACTATGTGAACAAGCAAAAGATGATGATGATTAGTGCTGGAGATGCTCAAAGCCTATTGAATCATCTTAAGCAGAAACATACAAAAGATCCCATGTTCTTTTTCATAGTTCCAATAGATCAAGAAAATCACATGACTAATTTTTTCTGGAGAGATGGGAGATCAAGGGTTGATTATGATTGCTTTGAAGATGTGGTTGTTTTCAATACCACCTATCACACCAATAAGTATAATTTTATTTGTGCTCCATTTGTTGGTGTTAACCACCATTGGCAAAATGTGATGTTTGGTTGTGCTTTCCTTTTGGATGAAACCACTGATTGATTTATATGATTGTTTAAATCATTTTTAGAATCAACGAGGAATTGGTTTCCGGTTACAATTTTTACTGACCAAGATCAAGCCATGTCTAATGCAATTGAGGCAGTATTTCCAAATACGCACCATTGACTATGTTTGTGGCATATTTCAAAAAATGCTCCTTCTCATTTGGGGGAATTAAATACTAACACAGAGTTCAAGTAACTTTTCAACAAGTGCCAAAAATATTGTGATTCTACACTAGAATTTCAATGGACTTGGGAAGAAATGATACAAAATTTTAGTTTGGAGAGTCATCGGTGGCTTAATATAATGTACAAGATTTGACACAAGTGGAGCACTGCATTCACTAAGGATAGTTTCAATGCTAAATTTAAAGCTTCCTCAAGGAGTGAAAGTACAAATAATGTTTTAAATAATATAGTAGGTAAAACAACTAGCGTCACTAACTTTGTTATTGAATATGACAATTTAGTGGCAGGTTTGCGTTCTTTAGAATTGGATGAAGATTTTCGATGCAAGCAAGGTGCCCCACAAAAAATAGTAAAAAAAAGTGGTAGTTTGGGTCATGCAGCTCAGGTTTACACCTGTAAGATATTTAAATTATTTGAAAATGAATTTCTTAATAGTCTTGCAATGGTGGAGAAGCAAGTTGATTGTCAAGATACAATTGATGTTTTTGAGTTGAAAGAAGAAAATAGTGAAAGGGTACATATTGTTCACTTTGATCATCTTACTAACAACATTTCTTGTTCTTGTAAGAAGTTTGAATCATTAGGAGTTCTTTGCTGTCATGCATTGAGGGTTTTCAGTATAAAAAATTTGACTACAATTCCAAATCAATATATTTCGAAACGTTGGAAAAAAGATGCTAAGAAAGGGATTATGGCTTATGAACAAGGTGCCAATTCCATTGCGAATGGTAAAGAGGTTGAGATCATATGGCGTAATAGTATGATACGTATAGCTATATACAAGAGTCAGGGGAATGATAGCCTTAAGAACATTTGCCAAAAGATACTTACCGAACTTGATGAAAAAATTGAAAGAGAGTTTGCAAGGTTGAAATTGGGTACGGATGTACATGTTGAAGAAGATCAAGCCATACAGTGTGATACCACTAACATTTCAGTGTTAGATCCCCCACATGCGAGATCAAAAGGTGTACGGAACACCAGACTTAAAGGGAATTTTGAAAAGCGCAAGACAAAACCATCCAAGGATGCATCAACTATGAGTGAGAATCTTTTTTTTTTTTTTTTTTTTCTTCTTTTTTTTTTTTTTTGATTCAAGCGTGAGAAACTATTTACTTGCTCAATAAATGTTATATTCTCATCCGTAATAATATTTTTTTAATGAAGTTCTTATGTTGTAAGTTATTTGTGATTTATGCACATACTTAGGAAAATTAAAACAAGTAAAACAAGGACCATCACATGCCTCACTTGGTGTCACATATGACACAACAATTTTCTAACGACCAAATGGGTCACTTTATGTAAGACCAGCATATGCCAACATACATGGTCAATCTTACCCACCATGGACCATGCATACTCAGGAATTGAATATTTATATTGATTCACAAAGTTAAAATATCTACTATTTATACTTAAAATTATGGTCATAATTAATTTTAAGTATGAACTATTTCAATGCGTAGGATATGGACTTTGCAAATATTCCATTTACAACTATGTTGCAAAATGTCAATGTTGTAAACCAATTTAGTGAGGTAAATATTGACACAATTCATTTATTTATTTGGATGCCTTTATTTGTTAATATTATTATACGCATTTATTGTTCTCTTAACAAAGGCTTAATTTGTATAATATTTTTAATATGTTGTTTAGAAAAATGATAGCCACACAGAGAAGCTACAAAAGTAAGATAAGAGCTGTACATAAGGGGTTCAAAGACTTACACAAAACAATACTTTGAAGGTGGCTAGTGCTTGAAGAATGATATTTTGGAAGTTTGCTTAAGTGCAAAGAAAGAATTTCAAACAAAGTTTCTAGGGAAAGTGTGGACACGCCCTCGTGGGGCCTCTGTGCTACAGTTCGGACTCGATTTTTGTCACGGTTCTTAATCTGAACCAAAGAGTCCAAATTCGACAAATCGTTTTGAGAAAATAGATTTTTAGAAAAGAAGTGCCAAACATGGACTGCTTTGCCAGATACAGAGTCGCCACCTAAATATTTTATTTTGAGAAATTTAGGAAACCCTGACTCGGTGCCAAAGGCCACGTGTCCGTCATCACCAAAGTTGCCTCGGGAACTTGGGTACCGATTGTGGAAGAAGGTCAGCTATGAGCACCCCCTCTCGCCCGATCAAGATCACTCTACTAAACCGTGATATCTTGTTTTTTATGTGTTCTTATTCCAGTTATTAGCCTAGAATTACTATGTTATGCGCACAGCAAACAAGTATAGACCAAATCGCCTAAATTGGAACAAAACATTTCATGTTCATGTTGAAAATGGTTTGCTACTCGCGAGTAGGCTAAAATGTAGATTTTGCCACCCTCAAGTGGGCTTTAGGAAAGATCGTTTTGCCACTATTCTAGTGGGCTTAAAACTCACAGTTTTAATGCATTATTCCAATTTAGTTAATTTAGCCTCCACCCACAGGCATTCAAGTAGTTATATCACATAAGCAGCTAGCCTCATGGTAAGCATGTTGTCATGTTAACATTCACACTCATGCGAGATGCTAAAGCATAAATGCTCACCTAGTACTCCGTGCCAAAACAATGAACTAGTTAGTAATCATATGCATGGTCCTAGTTCATGTTAAGTGGCTAATGCGATGCATACAGAATGCAATCTAGAATAGGCTCGGCTAATCTAAGGATGACATGTGAAAATGCACAGATAGCATGTATTCAAGTTAGATTTGAAATACTTTATGCAGTTAGCATGATGCGCCGAGCCCGGTGCATGAAAGACTAATGAATGATGCACGCATGCATAGCATAAGGTATGCTAAAGTAAACATGTCCTAATACTAACCATCAAAAGCAGGTGAGTAAAAGGGAGAAAGAAGTGGGGGTTGGAAGACATGCACACACGCACCCACACTTATTACAAATTTGCCCTCGCTCGGAAGGACCGAAAGAATAATACAAATTAATTAACCTACAAGCTAATTAAATATTACAAACCAATTAATTAATTAACAAATTAACTAATCTAATAAAAGCAGTAAACAGCCTCGGGGAGAGGGCCCAATGCAATGCGCGCTCGGCTCCGCTCAGAAAGCCATTGCCATGCACAAGTTGCCTCTGCTTTGACTGTTATCCTTCTCTAAAGACTGCACAAATCTCAGGGTTGCTTCCCTGAATGCTGTGGAACACCACCGACTGAGGGAATTGGTCACCGGCCATGGAGAACGGTCACCGACCACAAATTAATCCATCGGCCTTTTATAGATGGCCGGTCGGCACTGGAGGTGGCCGGCCGGCCAAAGCTTCCTGCAGAATCTGTTTTTGACAGCAGCAGAGGGCAAAACTTGGCATGGCAATGCATTTCAAGCAATGTATGCACCAAACACACCCCTTATCATATTCATGATTCAAAGGGATTTGATTCTCGATTCTCGGACCACCAATCGCGCATTTCCATGCATGATGGCCCAAGGAACCAAGTATGCATTTTGATATGGGATGCAATGCACATAATCAAACAAAGGGGGCTCCACCTCTATCATACTCAACTCAAGAGGTGAAACATGCATGCGAATGCAATACATCCTAGGTATGGAGGCTAGTATGCAACATGGTAATGCGATGTGACAACTACGCTAGTGGCAAACATGCAACAACATGTAAGGTGAACTAAGCAGAGGAACAATGCAAAGCAACTTAACCAATGAAATACATGCCCAATGCATCATGGTTTCAAGCAAGCAATAACATATAATAGGCCAAGTATGCAACAATGCACAAGGAAAGCATGTTATAACACATGAAGGATGGACTTAAACTAATTTAGGCAGCCCTCAAACAAGCCTAAAACAGTGGCCATAAACTATGGAGATGGGGCCAAATGCACATACAAGCATGCATGCATACATGATCCAATTCCTAAGCATCAAAAGGAAACTTTTAAACACACTTAAAAGAGATGATCATGGACATATGGCAAGCATACCAAACTCTGAAATTGCATAAAATAGAGGTGCCAAACCAACTAATTAAAGCAAGTAAAGCATGCTCATGACATCACACATTCAAGGCCTACAAGCTAGAATGCAAAGAGACTATACAAAATACGTTAAGCATGACCAAAGCAACTGAAAATAGAGCTAAAGCACACTAAAACATACACAAAAGCTTCACAAAGCTTGGCCAAAATCATGCTAAAACAAGGGTCAACACTTAAAGCATGTTTAGGCCAAAACATGGCATTACAAGACAAGTATGCTAAGCATGCATGGTGTGTCTAAACCAACTAAAAATAGAGGTAATACATGGAAAAATACTAGCAAATAGCACTTAAGACATGGCCAACATGCACTTAAATTAGATGCTCACACATGAGGCAAAAATGGCCCTTTTCAAGGACAACAAGGAGAGGGGGTGGACCTCTCCTTCTTAGGACCTCAAGGCACCATCCTCACCACTGAAAATCCTCAAGATTTCAGTGGTGAGGAGGCCCAAACACAATGGTCCCGGAGCTCACCAAAATGGCACAAAAATAGAGCCTAACAAGGCTTAAGAGGGGTCAAACAGCCCCAAAGCTCAAAGTACTCTTAAACAACTATTTAGAGTAGGCAAAAACAAGACTTTTATATGTTATACACCAAGTCTAAAAATAGTTGCAAGGCATTCAAAAAGGCTATGCAAAAATGGGGTAAAAAGAGCAAGAATGTTACCTTTGAAGATCCTCTTCACAAATGGTTGACCAGCAGCTTCCTTGAGCTCAAAACCACTCAAGAACACCAAGAACAGCCCTCTTGTGCCTCAGTCCCGAGAGAAGGTGTGATGGTGGGTGTTTGTGCACAAAAGTAAGACAAAACAAACACAAAAATACAAAGAGAGAGAGATATAGAGATAGGATATATGCAAACCCTAACCCTAGAACTCAAGGTTCTGAAAAAGAGTTATCTAACCTAAAAGAGGGAGAAGAGGCCTTCTCTTATAGAGAGGGTTCAATCTTGTAAAGCTTCCAAGGCAAGCTAACAAGAGGGAGATCCCTCCATACACGCGTGTATGGAGGGGAGAAAGTGTATGCCAGCTAGCATAAAATATCTGCAAAAGCAGATGCACAGTGGTCGGCCGGCCAAAAATGCAATTTGGCCAAAAAATATGGCCGGTCGACCATCTATAGTGCCGGCCGGCCAAACATTTGGCCGGTGGCAACAAAACACAGCCGGTGGCCTCAAGCCATGGCCGGTGATGTGCGAGGATGGCCCACAAGCCATTCCCTGCCCCTCCAAGGCAAAACACAAGTGTTTGGTGCAAAACCAGACACAAAACAGTCGAGTTGAGAGATCCTGAGGCAAGGCGCGTAGCCGACACCTCCGGGAACTCAAGACAAACACAAACAAGGATGATCACCGGGTGTTCAAGCGGTGACGTCCAAGTCTTAAGGACGGTCAAAAATGGGGTGTCTACATAAAGACAAAATTTTAATTTAAGTTGGGTTCCCCCCCTGCATTTATGTAATGGAGCTTTATATATTACAATGGTTTTTTTATTTATTTATTTATAGGATTATAGATGAAAAGGATGGTTAAATTTCATTACTTAATTTTTGGTTGTTGTAGTGAATTTTTTGATGAAAAATTTTAGATATATATTTAACAAATTGAGATGACATTCATTAATAAAAAAAAAATAAATTAAAAAGTGAAATGTAACTCAATAAACTAATATGGTAGGTTTTATATCAGTTTGTAAAGAAAATTTTTAATTTTTAACATGATAGGTTTTGCTTGAATTTGGTATAAAAGGGATAGATGTGTTTGGTGTTGTATGTTTTTGTTAGATTAACAGATTTTTAGTGGATTGAGTACTGAGTTTTTTTCACAAGCTTAATGTTATTGCAATTGGGAAGGAGTCTCTCTATTCTGTAATTGAGAAAATCTCTTCCTCTTTCCTTCATTATTGTAAATAAGAAAATTTGTCCTGTAATTTTTTTTTACCAAATACTATAAATACATAATAAAATATTCTCTGTAAGAAAAATTCCCAATTTCTTCTCTTTACAATTTTTTAGTGGGCTGAGTACTGAGTTTTGCCTTTTTCTTTCTTCATATCCCACTTCTTGAATGTTACATCGCATTCTTCGCACAAATCAGGTTGGATTAACTTCGCTGGTATCTCTTCCACATTCGTTCCAGTATGCGAGTCTAGATGCTTCTTCTCTTCATCACTTAGGAAATCTACTTTGATGCTATTCAAAGGCATTGATATACGATTGTGAGTATGACTTACATCAGTCGTGGTCATCCTCTTCTGTATCAACAACGTCAATTTAGAACTATTCAAGTTGTTGCTTTATTCCTTAAATTCTGAAGGAAGTTCTGGTGATGGGTATGAAACATTGTCAATTCCCATATTACTACTTATCATCTTCTTGTTGATTGGATTGGGTTTTTCTTAATCTTTGCTCTCTTCACTTTTATATCTCTTCTTGTTCTTGGGTTTTTCTTTTGTGACAGGCCTCTTGAGCCGCTTTTCTCTCTTTATCTTGTCTTCCTTGGACAAATTATCAACTGGATGATCAATAACAGGCTTCTTCAGAGGCTTTTCAATCGTTTTTTTGAAGTTTTCTCTCTTCATCTTTGTTTTCATCGCTTCCTTAGCAATAAACGTTTGAATTTTAATTTTAAAGTACTCTTCTAAGCCAGGATCAGGACCAGGAGTGGCCTCTTCTGCCATGGA